TGACCAGATGATACTGACCGGATTAAATTGATAAATCGAGAACTTGAATTGAAAAAAAAAGTTTTAAAAAATCATTATTCGATTTGACAATCAGGATTGGGATTACCTTGAATTTCTTAGACAAAACATTTTCAATCAATTACGGAAAAAACTGACCAAAGAAACATTGACCATGGTTTATATATGGTGATGAATCAAGAATTTACCATTGCACACCACTTAATTTTCTCTCGATGATCAAACCGAAAATGATAGGTTTACTTGGAAAAAAAAAATTTCCATCAACCATTATCATTAGATTTTACCATATCAATTTTCAACCCTTTTTTTTCAAAAAAGAGATTTTTTTTTTCTTCCAATTTGCTGGTGAGAAACATCGTTGCGAATGAAAAGATTTCGCAAATAAAAAGAGAGCTCAAAGAGTTGAAGCAAAAAACAACAAAACAAAAACAAAAACAAAAAATCTCTATCAGAGAATTTTTTTTCCGAGAAAGAAATGAACAAGTTTCAGTTTTGTTTTCTGGTCTTATCAGGCAATCACAATTTTAAAGGAAAAAACAATAAAAAAAATTTTAAAAAAAACAACAACAAAAAATTAGAAAAATAAAAAAGTAAAAAAAATCTTATTAATCTTCCAAATCTTTATAGAATTGTAAAGCATCCGTATAACCAAGTTGTTTTAGATTACCTGCTTTTGGCAATCGGCCAACCTGTTGAAAACCATAACGTTGACATGTTTTTATTGATGCCAAATTTGAAACATAAACTAAATTTGTATATAATGCTTTAAATTTTAATTGTCTTGCCAGGCGAATACATTGTTCGACCATAAAATTTGCCAATCCTTGTTGACGATATTTTCGATTTACTAACAGACCATAATTTGCTAAATGTGATGATCTTCCAGGGAAATTTGATTTTATATAAAATCCACCTGCAATTGAATTAGAATCTGTACTATCAGAAGATCGAATAACAAAACAATATTTGGAAAGAAAATATTGTCGAAATTCATCAAGATTTATTGATTCTTGAGGATATGTTTGACCTTCTTCAATGACATCGAAGAAAATTTCATATAAACCATTAACATCTGATTCTTGCCATGTATCCAACGAATATTTCATTCCATTTGGACTAGTATAATAAACCGGTAATTCTAGTTCTGTTCGATCCACAACGATCGGTATCGTTTCATTTGTATTTCCATAAGCCGAAGCCATCTTGTGGTAAATCAGATTTTTCGAAAAAAAAACATGATAATCGAAAAGAAATATCGATTGTATCGATATAATCGTTCCAAGACGATATTTTTTTGTTTATGAATTGCGTCAGTGATTGATGATTTACGTTCGACACGTCAGTGTTTTTTTTTTAATTTATTTATTTTGGAACCAATTTAGTTTGCGTTTAATTTAGGCAAAAATCTTTAGGATTTATCCCAAAAAATTCAGTGATATTTATTTTGTGATTTTAAAATAAAAAATATAATTATGGTTACCGGTAATGATGATTCTATTGAAGTTGAAAATCAAGGTAATTTAGTTTCAAATTTATAATTTGATTAGTTTGATTTTTTCATTTCTTTTTTGATTGAATTTCATCAGAATCTATCGGTCCGACTGTAAATAATCAGGCGACAAATGTTTCGAATAAAATCCTAATCAAAGGTCGTAAAATGAAAAGATTAACAAAAAAATTAAATGAATTGGATGAAAGTGATGAAGAATTTTTCAATTCTTCTGATGATAAGAAAAAATCCAAATCTAATCAACAAAGTGAAAATTCTTCCGTAAAATCTTCTTCTTCTTCTGATGATAATAATAAAACATTTGGATTAAAATTTCATAATAAACTATTGAATACTGGTAAAATTTTATCACATTGGAATGATAATCCACAGAAAATTATTGTCGATATGAAACTAATGGAAAGAACGAATAAAATAATACAGAAAATTGCTACTGTTGGTCTTGATAATTCAATCAATAACGTTAGTGATAATGAAACAAATTTCGAATCAAAACCACTTGAACGTTGGTCTTCTAGTATACATCCCGAACATGAAATTGATAAAACGAATCCAATTATTGAGGAAAAACTGGCAAGAATTCAACAAGTTGAAAAACAAATTGCCCGATCTGAATCGATAAAAAATGATGAAACAATTTTTTATGATAAAGAAAATTGTCCGTTATCGAACGATATGGAAAAATCTAAAGAATTTTTTGATAAAACTTTATCCATAAATGATACGGCACAAGTTTTGAAAAATTTTTCATCAATTACAAATTCATGGTTATCTGGTTTAAGTTCGGCAACAAAATTAGTTGGTGAAGCAACCAAAACAGCAGCATCAACAACTATGAATCATGCTGCAAAACATTTAGTCAATGCACAGAATATAATATCAACAAATGCATCTGCAGTTGTTGATGTAAGTTTACCTGTTGTAACCAAAGTTTTTGAACCAGAAGATAAACAAGTTTCAAATGCCGAACAAGATTCTTTCGTCACCGACGATTGGATAAATAATGATGATGATGATGATTGGGATGATCCAATTGTTTTGACTAAAAAAAGTGAACCTTTTTCAAACGAAACGAAAGAAATTCAAAAAATTAGTCCTATTATTTCAAATTCAAATAAGTCATTGGAAAAAGAAGTGTCACTAGATGAACAATCAACGAAAATGACTGAATCAGATGGCATAGAGAAAATCGATTCGAAAGCTAATGATGATGGTTGGGATGATTGGGATGATGAAACAAACGAAGAAAATGTAGAATCTTCCTTGGATGATTTGAAATCAAAGAATGTTGAAGATAAAACATCGAATTTAATAATTGAAGAATTTCCCAAAGAAAGTAATCAGGCCATGGATGAACAAAATGATTGGGATGATAATGAAATCGATATACAAATAACTGATGAACAATTGGATTCTCCTGAAATGGAACAAAAATCTGAAGAAAATGAAGATAATGATGTTGAGCCAACGACCCCAGAAGAATCGCCTTCTGATCAACAAAATAATGACGAATTAACAGAATCAGAATTAGAAGAAAGAAGAAAAGCAGTATTTCCCGGTATCGGTAGGATTTATGATGATGATGGTGTTCAAATTCTTTGTACCTGTCCGGCTTATTATCCACCGCCTGAAAATGTTGATAATGCTGAAAATGAAATTGTAAATGGATGGGATGATCAGGATGATAATGAAATCGAGTTACAAATACCTGATGAACAACCGAATTTACCTGAAATAGAAGAAAATAATGTTGATCAAACGACCCTAGAAGAAGAATCGCCTTCCGATCAACAAAATAATGACGAATTAACAGAAGCAGAATTGGAAGAAAGAAGGAAAGCAATATTTCCCGGTATTGGTCGAATTTATGATGATAATGGTGTACAAATCCTTTGTATTTGTCCGGCTTATCATCCACCGCCTACAGACGCTGTAAATGATAATGATGATGAAATTGTAGATGGTTGGGATGATTGGGAAGATAAGGATATCGATGTACCTGATGAACAACCAGATCCAACTGAAATTGAACCAAAACCCGAAGAAATCGAACAACCCATTGAAGACTCAATCCATTCGAATAATGTGAATGATACGTTGTTGATCGAAGAAAATGAATCAAATAATCAAGAAACTGATTCGAATGACAATAAAAATCAAGAATCTACAATACCTTCATCTTTTGACATTGAAAAACCATTTTCAGATGAAAAGATTTCAACTAATCCAGATTCACAATGGGAAAATTCTGAAAATTTTGAATGCAATATTCCTATCGAAACAATGTCAGATTCAGATGAAATCAAAGATGAAAACATTACAACTGTGATAAAGAACTTTAATGTATTATCTTCAGCACCTATTCCCGAAGAAATCGACATACAAATATGTGATGAACAACCCGATTTACCTGAAATGGAAGAAAATGATGTTGAGCAAACGACAACAGAAAAATCGCCATCCGATCAGCAAAATGTTGACCACGAATTACGAATATCAGATGAGGATTTCATTATGAATTGCAACCAAGAAGAGAAAAATGATTGGTGTGATGAAAATATTGACATTCAAAATGAAATGAAAATCGATGATGATGATGATGATGAAGTTATCAATGAAGATTTGCAATCAAATATGATTGAAAATCATGTTGAAAATAACGATGTAAAATCCATCAATTCAAATGATGGAGAAACAAACATTGTTGATAATTCAATTGATAATCAATTTGACAGTTCGACAGAACAGCTAGAATCAATACAAACATCATTTAATGAACCGGAAAAAATAGATTCGGCTGTATTAATTTTGCCTCATTCGACTGAAACTCCCATGCATAAAATTGTTAAAAAGTCTGATCCGATATTTGATGAAAAGCAAGATGATTGGACTGAATCATCCCAGCATAAAATCGTTAAAAAGTGTGATCCAATATTTGAAGATAAACAGGATGATTGGAATGAATCTCCCGTGCATAAAATTGTTAAAAAGTCTGATCCGGTATTTGATGATAAGCAAGATGGTTGGGATGATTGGGAGGAAGAACCCGAAAAACCTCAATTCGATCAGAAGAAATCTTTGAAATCTGAAGAAAAAATGAAAACTTCCAGCATAGAATTTGAATCCGTTTCAAACGTACCGATAGAACAAGGAAACTTAGAGAATCTTGAAGTTATCAAAAAATCCAAGTTAAATTCCGTTTTAAAAAATAAAGAATCCACAACAAAAGCTAAATCAGAAAAATCTCAACCTAAATTCAAAGAAATAACCGATAATAATGATGATTGGAATGATTGGACAGAAAAAGATTCTATGATTGTTGAAACAAAACCATTGTTGAAAACAGATTCAAAGATCAATCGTTTATTGTCCAAAAACAAACCAAAATTCAATATTGTTGATCGTTTTGATTCTGATTCTAAAGATCAACAAAACAAAACGAAACCTAAATTTGCCAAAATTGTTGATGATGATAATGATTGGAATGAACAAGATTGGACCGAATCAT